AGCGTCGGGATGTAAGCGGGGCGGGTTTGTGTGTGTGTGTGTGTGTGTGTGTGTGTGTGTGTGTGTGTGTGGTGTGGTGTGGGCGCGAGAATAGCTCCGCCGTTCATGGAGGCAACCGATACGAGTCGACTGGTGTGTGTCGTCGGTGGTTTTTCGTATCAAGAATACTCACTCACTCACACGGCGGGTTTGCTGCTGCGGGGTCCCCCGCTGTCGCCCGGGGTCATGCGAGGGGTGGGCACGACCAGTAGGGACCCCCTCCCCCGGGCCCCGCTCTCAGTTGGGGCCTCCGCGGCCGAGTGGGAGATATTGGATGGGAAACGGGTCGATTTGCAAAGTGGGGCGCCGGGCCCGGCCGGGCCCGGCTCGGGCCCCCCGTGCCGGGCCCGGCTCGGGCCCGTGCCGGGCCCGGCCCGCGCGCTTTGCCGGGCCCGCCCGGCTTTGCCACTCCCGGGCCGAAGCGCCCAAATCAGCAGGTCGAGGAGCGAGGCGGGCCCGGCGAGGAGAAAACGGGCCCGGCAAACCGTCCTGCCCGGGCCCGTGTGCGGCACATCTACCGGCCCGCTCAGTCGCAGGTCAGCCGGGCCCGGGCAGGAGGGTTTGCCGGGCCCGTTTTGCGCGAGGCGGGCCGGGCGAGGAGAAAACCGGCCCGGCTAAAGCACGCTCGGCGGCCCGGGAGCGGCCACTTTTGACCCGGCCGGGGCCCGCCGGTGCCCCTGCCGGGCCCGCCCGCTTACGTCCGGGGCCCCAGTTAGCTCTGCAGACAGCCAGACAGCTCCGCGAGGTCGGACCGACTTTTTCAGACTACTATTCTGGTATACCAAGGGTATGTGCTGCTAGATCTCACTGAGCTGAGCTCATATCTGCCTTTGGTAAGCAGTTTTGAGTTCGGGCATGTCTCCGGTAAGCTGTTTCCGTGTACGGAGGGCCGCGCGTCCGGACGCGCATGACGTCGGCCGGGACCCCCCGTGCGGGGGCCTTCTCTCGGACTCAGGGAAACTCGAGAGTTGCCAGAATGGAGCACCAAACACCCTCTGCGCTCTGGTTTCCCTGGAAATTTCCGGAAACGAAAAGTGCTGGGGACCCTCTCGCACTAAAAGAAAGAAAGAAAACAGACACGCCAAACGAGGGATGGGACGAGGACAGGGTCCCCACCTGCACGAGCAGGATTTGGAAGGACGATCAGGGGGACAGGTGGGGCTCTCCTGCT